AACGACCATGTATAGTAAGGCGTTTTTAGTTGAAAAAAACGACCATGTATAGTCAGGCGTTTTTAGCCGATAAAAACGACCATGTATAGAGTAAGGCGTTTTAACCCGAAAAAAAACGACCATGTATAGTCAGGCGTTTTTAGCAAAAAAACGACCAGGTATAGTAAGGCGTTTTTAGCCGAAAAAACGACCATGTTTAATTAGGCGTTTTTAGCCGAAAAAAACGACCATGTAAACTGCAGTAAGGCGTATTGGGCCAAAAATACGACCATGTATAGTAAGGTGTTTTTGTCCAAAACAAAACGACCATGTATAGTCAGGCGTTTTTGGCCGAAAAAAAAAACGACCATGCATAGTAAGGCATTTTGGGAAGAAAAAAATGACCATGTATAGGAAGGTGTTTTTGTCCAAATAAAAAAAAGACCATGTATAGTTAGGCATTTTTGGTCCAAAAATATGACCACGTAGAGTAAGATGTTTTGGGCCAAAAATATGACCATGTGTAGTAAGGCGTTTTGGGACGAAAAAAACGACCACGTATAGGAAGGCGTTTTTGGCCGAAAAAAACGACAATGTTTAGTAAGGCGTTTTGGGCCAAAAATACGACCATATAAAGTTAGGCGTTTTGGGCCGAAAAAAAGGCCACGTATAATAAGGCGTTTTGGGGCGAAAAAAATGACCATGTATAGCAGGCATGTCCAGCTCCGGGCCTGGAGGGCCGCCGTCCTGCCTGTTTTCCATCTCTCTGGGCTACAACACACCTGTTCAGATGATCAGCTCATCAGCCAGCTTTAAAGCAACATTAGAACATTCCTGATTATTTGAATCAGGTGTGTTGCTCCTGGGAGAGCTGGAAAACAGGCAGGACAGCGGCCCTTGAGGACCGACTTTGGACACCCCTGATGTATAGTAAGGTGTTTTGGGCCGAAAAAAACAACCACGTAAACTGCAGTAAGGCGTTTTGGGCCAAAAATACGAACATGTATAGTAAGGTGTTTTGAGCCGAAAAAAACAACCATGTATAGTAAGGCGTTTTTGGCCGGAAAAAAAAACACGACAATGTATAGTAAGGCGTTTTGGGCCGAAAAAAATGACCATGTATAGTGAGGCGGTTTGGGTCGAAAAAAAGGAACATGTATAGTAAGGCGTTTTTGTCCAAAAAAAAAAAAAAAGACCGTATGTCGTAAGGCATTTTTGGCCGAAAAAAATGACCATGTATTGTAAGGCGTTTTGGGCCGAAAAAAACGACCATTTCGTTGACAAGTTACTATATAAGCTACATTCAGCAGAGGCTGACAACCCCGCTTCACAGAAAGTTGATGACAATTTGGCATCGGCTGCAGCTCACCCAAGACTCTAAGACAAGCACAATAGTAAATGGATGGATGTTTAGCTTAGCTTACTTAGATTCTGACATTGTGTTTGCTCATCAGGCAAACATTTTTCATCGATTCCTGGCAAGACAATATGCACCACATTTTCAGCCACCAAACGCGTTATCATCACCGTCCCATAAATACAATCACACTTCCAAACTAATCAGCATCCGTTTGTATGTGTGTGTTTTTGTGTGTGTATGTATGTGTGTGTGTGTGTGTGTGTGTCACGGCCATGTGTTAATGAGCAGCTAAGCTTTTACGCCGGCTACATTAAATCATGACAACGTTTGAGCCTTGTCCACTTCAGGGCCATAAATGTCACAGCAACATTGACAGCGACTCCAGACAAGCAGGCACCAGTGAAGGAATCTGCATGGAAGCTATTTTAAACAGTACTTAAGTGTTTTAATTAAGAAGATCTTACATAATTAATGCAAAATAATAAATCATCCAAATAATATAAAGACAACTTATGATATCAGAATTTACAGACAGTTTCTTTCTTGCAGAAATTAGCCAATTTTACTGGGGCAGCCAGTCTCATATCAGGGAGCCAACCTTCCCTCATCCTGCTGCAGCAAAGAGTACAGCTTTTGTTACCGTGGCGACCAAAGGCGGAGCTAGGGACAACTGTGAAGCCACATGAAGAAAGCACCGATTCTAATTTCCCCTCCTGGAGGCAATAATTTGTCATTAATCTACACTTGTCAAGTCGTGTGCGGATTCGTGTATGTGGTGCATGAAGCATACACAAATACCTCCCATCGCATTTGCGACTTCACTGAGCATCAACAATGTGCAACTTATCAGAAGCAAACACTCTTCGCGAATGTTATTTTGTGCGATAAAGAAAATTCAATGCAGCTCTACTTACCTTGGCTTTGACATGACGTGGAGACTGTGTCTTGAAAGTGGCCTCGCACTCATCAAAAACCTCACCCACTAAAACATGTTTCCTTTACACCAAAAAGCGCGCGCGCACACACGCACACACACACACAATTCAAATTCACACCCCAAAATTGTTCATACTCAAAACCCAAAAACATATCCAAAACTGCACACACAAAAATATTTTTACAGCCCGAATCTCACACACACTCAAGACCTCTCACACATCAAAAACCTCTTAGACATACCAAATAACTGTCACGTTTGTGAGGTGGTGGTGGACCCCAAAAAGCAGGCAGGAGGGAGGAGCAGGGTGAACTTGACAGATTGTATTTAAACACAGAGAAAACTAAATCCAAAACAAACAAAATCCAAAGTAGCAAACAAAACCATGACTGAAGCAAAAACTAACCATGACTGAAAACAAATATGACAGTAGCAAACACACAAACAAACAAACAAACAATGACCCGACACCGAGTGGTCGTGCCGCGAGTCCTTTTAAAGCAATAACGACATAACGAGCAACAGGTGTGCAGCTGCAGGGGGAGCCCAACAGTGCCACCTGTTGGTCACAAAAAGAATCATGACAATAACTTTTCACACTCACCAAAAATCATCACGCACGCTTCAAACTGACAAGCATCTAAAAATCTCTGTCTCACACACACACACACACACACACACACACACACACACACACGTTACTTGACACACAAAACATCCGAATCTCATCTGGAGTTGTTTAGCCTTTATTAAATAATAATAACATTAAAAAAAAAAAAGACATTTCTCTGTACAAATTCTACAAACAAGAGTTTGCGTTATCTGGCCAGTGCCGTGTGTGTCTATCGAGACAGAGGAGGTAAATACTCTCTCTCACCCCAGAGAGAAAACCGTTGGCCTCCACATATACGTATCCCATCGTTAGTCATCTAAAGTGGGAGAGAGAGACAGCGAGAGAGAAAATGCATGCGCCAAGGCACTTGGAAAGCAGTCCAAAAAACAGGCTTGTTCCATCTTTCTCCACGCACGCCGCCACGACAGACAAAGACAATGGCGACACTTCCGCTTCTGAATAGCTAATTAGGATATTCCCATAGGACAAGCCAAAAGAATTCCTATCTCAATCCTTGCTCGCTACGGTGAAGCAGATGTCCTCCTCATCGCCTGCCAACTTATTTTGCATATGTACCCCCCACCAGTATCTCTCTGGATGTTTACATGCATGGAATCACCCTCATTTGTCCCACGCACGATGCATTTTTCATATTTGGAGGAAATTAAATATCGACCAGCGCCACTAATTTGACCCATAGCTGGTGACCATTGGTGAGAGTAGGAACGTAGATCAACCAGTAAATTGAGAGCTTCGTCTGTTGGCTCAGCTCCTTCTTCCCTATGAAACACCGATACAAAGTCCGCATCACAGCAGACGCTGCACCGATCCGCCTGTCGATCTGTCTAAGTATCTTGGGGTCTTACTGCAAACACAACAAAAGTATTTCCTCAGAGGGAAAACGTGTAAGGCCTTAGACTGGCCATGCCAATCACCTGACCGTAACCCAACAGAGTATGTATTTCACCTCCTGAAGAGTAGACTGAAGGGTTAAACCCCCAGAAGCAACAAGAACTGAAAGAGGCTACAGCAAAGGCCTGGAAAAGCTTTTCAAATGAAGAAACAATCTGGTGAAGTCGCTGGGTCGCAGACTTGAGGTTTTAGGTGGCATTCACTCGGTTTGTTTCATAATGGCCATTCCAATACTTCTGCTTACTTGAAAAGTGGTTGGCCTCAAATAAAAGGTGCTCTGTCCAGAGATGTGGAACACTTCTAGACATAAATATCATCATAGATAAGCTGGACTTCTGAACATTTATCATTTTCATTTTGATTGGAGTCTTCAAAAAAAGTCTTCAGTATGCCACAAAAACAAAGAAATTGACCTTGTTGGTTTCAATACTTATGGGTGGGTCTGTCACTGTTTTAGGGCCTCATCGTATCATTATGTTTTCATGCATGGATAACTGTAAACAATCGCTTTGAAATCTGACATGAAGGACTATCGTTTGCTAAGCTATTGTTCCGTTTCTTTTCAGAAGACGAGGAAGGATTGAATGAGGGTGAAGGCTAATTAGTGACAAATGTTTCTTCTCCCGCATGCAAACATGGCATCATCTCTCTGTCTCTCTCTGTCTTGCAATGAGTGAGCGTCCTCACGTCCATCTGCGTCCCCCCCACCCAGCACTGGCCCTCCATGATGGCTGTCCTCCGATACAGCGGTTTCTGCAATTAGCTTAAGGCTCAATTGTGTGTCCAAGAAGGGATCCGTTCTCTTCCTCCTCGTCCCCTCTTTTTGACGCTCCTTTGCCTGCCGGGGCATCGAACGATCGCCCCTGCGCGGACACGCGGCTCTTTGGCAATCCATAGGTTGCAATAAAAAAAAAAAACATCATTGACATTTAGTTCACACAGTGTCATCATACAGTCTGGGAAAAACAAAAATATACATATACTGTATATATAGTATATAGACAAACTATAGAATCTAAAGCACAACTCCGTAACATGTTAGATTTCCACCTGTTCCCGTTTCACGCCAATGGGAAAATGTGCCAAATTAAGACCAAGGAAATTCCAACACAATGCAAAATAAAGTCGAAAGATGCTTTAAAAACGCAACCTTTCCCTCCAAGCCTAAAACGGAACAAAAACACTCACCATTACTCGTCTATGCCACAGGTTTCACAACGCGCACATCGAGGGTGGATGAAACAAGCCTACGGCAAGCTAATGGACTCTTTAAAACATACAGAACCCATACTGAAAAAGTGACCCCCCCCCCCAAACAAAAAAAATCCCCCAAAAACATTTTCCCTATAAAGTCATGTCTCTTCATTGGATATTTGTTAAAGTTCTTTAGGAGAAAGGCATTCGCTTGATATGTGTTGATTTCAGTGGCCACTTGGAAAGATGTTTACACTTTTAGCTTTCAGCATGCCGTCCGTCTCTTTTGTCAACTCTCCATTGCTGGACTTTGTTTTGTGTCTTCATTTGGTACTAAGGACATGGCGTACCCACTCAGATGGAACGCCACGTCACCGTCGGAAAACCTGCCGTTTCAGGTCTCAATCTTCAGATTGTCGCAGGTGAGGGCGTCCATCTTCTCCGTCGCTTCTTTCCAGTGGGTGATTGTTCAAAGATACATCTGTCAGTCATTTTCATCCCTTCAATCATTCAACAGAAGCAAGCAGGCGCTCTCCTACAGGCGGAGGAGATTTGGGACCGTAGACGCCGAGGTTTACACCCTCAGAGCGAATCGCAGTTCTTCCCGGCACATACATCCTAGCCAAGAAAAAAACAAACAGTACTTCTTTGTCACATTTCTTCATCCGTACTAAACGCGAGTGGCAGAGGGGGCCGCTCTATGGTCTCAGGCTTCCGAGCAGCACCTCTGCTGGTTGATCTTGACCTTGTGCTTGATGCCGTCGTACAGCTCAAAGTTGTAGTTCTCCAGCGTGGTGGAGGAGCGCGACGAGAGGCCGCCGTACGAGCACGTGCAGTAGAGCAGCAGTCCGGCACACACGGCGCCCAGCAGGACGCCCAGTGAGCTCATCACGATGATGGTGAGCAGGATGGGGTCAAGGGTGTACAGCCAGGTGTTGTCCTTGTCCCTTTCGGACACCAGGGTGACGGACGAGGGGTCCGCGTTGGCCGAGGCCGGGGTGGAGAAGGAGGAGGGCCAGCTGGGAAATAAATATTCTGCGGGAGAAGAGAATGCAGGAAAAATAAGATTGCGGAAAGCAACTGTGCAATCAATGGACATTCATTCATTCATAATCAAATGTATTACAATTGGTAAAGAGAAAGTCAAGGAGTCATGAAATTTAATGCACACATATCCAGAAACTTGTTCAACACACTCACTTTTGTATTGGACAAGACTGGATACGTGGGCATTTCATTTCATGAAACCGTGACTGTGGATGCTATGATAAACAATGACTTCTCAGCCATGTTTTGATTGAATTAGTTTGACTTGACAAATCAAACGTTCTTTACTAAGGACAGAACTTAAAGTGCTTGCATTAAGACTAACTATAAATGTGTTTTTCTAAATGTACAGATACAGAGAGTAGGATCGAGAGTATAAATGTATTGTTGCAGAGTACTACTGCAGCCATATAAAAAGTGTGATCATCGTCCGATTGGTTGGTTCGAGAAAAACTTGTTGCAGCCAACGTCGACAGCAAAACGCTTGTCTGTATCTGCGCACATCAATGCATTTAATAATCAGCATCGCTGAGAAGTATGGTGTATTTACTCACAACGTTTAAAGATGTTAAAAAGCACTTCGAGACATCAAACATGATGACGGACAGTTGTGCACAGTTACAAACTATAAGAACAATAATTTATTAAAACTGCAGGCAGAGATGAACAGGTGCTCACAGATTTGCTCCGCAAGTAACATGTTTCTCTGAGTAGTATGCCGGTGTTGTCACATGAGGAAATGGACCGAACTGTCGTGGAGAAATGCCACTTTGTATCACCTGCATCGTATTTCGCAGAAATTAGGTTTGCGGTTAGTTAGCAAGTGAAAAGCAGTTGGCCACCTCAAAGCTGTTTTTAAACTATAATTTCACATGTATCTGGGGCTAAAAAGCCAAGCGTGCAGAGTCTCAGTCACCGACATGCCCGTGCATAGTCAACGAATGGAGTGCCAACAGCTTATGAAATTTCTCCTGTTTCCTCTTTGTAATTTTGCAGTGTGCTTCTTTGACGATCGTGCCATGTTGTTTATGGTTCACAACAGTATGTGGCGCCTCCAAACTGCTTTCTGTAGTTTTTTTCGTTGCAGTGCGAGGGTCATTCGCAAGGTGTGCGGATGTGAGTCGCCAACTGTAATTAGTTTCTTCAGTTGGGGCGCATTTCCTCAGTAGTGAGGATGAAGAATGTGCTCGTATAGCTGAGCTGCCTTGAGCACGAGTTTTTTTTTTTCATCTCCATGCTTGGACTAAGTATCTTTTAATTCGAGCATGGTTCCGACATGGACAATCCAGCCATATAGCTGACAGATACGCACTGTGGCTTGTGAGGGAGAGTCGGTGTGCCTGTCATGAAACAAACACACACTTGCTGTGCTCGGTCACACTCTCACATTCATTTTCTATCCCTCTGTCTTTCAATGTCACTTGTCTTTCTTTCTTGGTGAGGACTCGAGGCAGAGCCGCGGGTGTGTGTCGGCCCGCTCTGCTCTCTGGCTTTGACCTCAAATAGCTTGTATGGCCCCAGGCGGAAAACAGCGCACTTGAAAAGCTCACCTTCATTCATGGAGGGCTTATTGAAGTCAGGATCTTTTCCGAAATCCATCGGCCTGGGATCTGTACGGATACACAAGAGAGCGGCGCTATCATTTTAGCGGCAGGGAGAGTCAGATTGCTAATCATTACACAAGTAACATGGATGCGAGATTCTAAAAACGCAGAGACGAGATTAGATTAGGTGGACTGTGCTCAGTGTGTCGTGGGAATAATAGCAGTCATGATGACCAAACATTAACCAGAATACAGCAAACGAGTTCCATTGTGTGGTAAGCAACATCCTCCATTTTTACAACAAATAACAACACAGCCGGTTGTTGTAAGACAGCAAGAAAGGAGAGACACAGAAAACTGTTTTTAATAAAAAAATATGACTTTTATTATCTTCACACTCACACACCAGCGTATTTGTGAGGCCGCTTTAAAGCTCACTTGTACTTCAATTTTTAGCAAAGTCAAACACAACCTCCAAGACAGAGAAAAAGAAAAGTGTTACAGACTTGCGGCTGACAAATACTCAACCAAGTAGATATTCAAAAGATAACAGATACAGAATGTGAGGTATAAAATAAATATAGAATGAAACAGAGTTTCCATTTCCATCAAACGCAGCGCAGTAAGGTCAGGTATTTTCCCCCTTTAAGACAATATTCAAATGTTTTCTAAAAGAAAAAAAAAGTTTCAAGAGGTAAAAATCTCAGCTCACTACTTTGCCACGAGGTGAAGAAAAGTACGGATGCCAGCAAAAGTCCGCCCTCAAATGACGCGTTTATTGATGGAAATACTTGTAATCCGCCATTCATTTATTCAAACTCAGGATGTGGAGATTTGTATACAATTGCATTTCGGGGGCTTTCTTCAAGTGGGAGAATGAAAATTGATTGCCGCCAAGCAGGAAATCAAAAAGACGTTAATAAAGTCTTGTTAACTGCGCCGAGTGAAAGTGCAGAGTGGTAAACAGAAGAGCACGCTTCCTGACGCCCACTGATGAATGGCTTAGCTCAAGTAGGCGCCCACCACTGCATTATTCACCCTGAGGGACTCCCAATCAATCCCCACTTTTCAGTCATCGTGCGTAACTCATCACTTCAAAAGAAGCCTCTCATATATTCTCATGCAGTCATTTTTTTTTTAAGACATGACTGTCCTGACACAACAACAGAGACATGCCACCTAATTGATAGAAAATAAAACTTTTGAATCAAATGATTTTTTTGCTTTTTCTCTGCCTGCTTATTTAACTCACCTTTTAGAAAAGAAAACAACATTTCCATAACATTTGTGGAATTCAAATCTGTGCAAATCAACTCAGAGATGGGCAACGTATGGCCCACGGGTGGCTTCTGGTATGGGCGATATGTATGCACTCAAAAAAAGTTGGACCACAAAAAAACCCAAATTGGGTCAAAAAGGGACTGATGCAAATTTACGGGTTCTCCGTTTGGGTTATTTCTGACCCAACTGTTTTTAGAGTGCAGTTGTTGCATTCATTTAGCCAACGATCCTAAATGTATGTCTTCATTTTTCAGTCATTTTCTAAATTCACTCTCATTAAATATTTGGTTCATGCATTAAAAATTAAAAAGAAAATAAAAATAGCATATTTTAAATATATATACTGAACATTTAAGAATATTCATTTTATTTATATATATTATCAGATGACATATATATTGTTATATTTGTATATATTTGGCTACAATATATTATATTATACATTAAGGATAGAAATAAATGTAAATAAGAATGAAGTATGATTCAAATAAACAATTTGGAAATATTTTAGCGCATTTTACCAATTTTTTTTAAACCTCATCTGTCAACATGATCAAAATCAACATGATCAGAATATTGTATGTAAGGCCAAAAGAAAATGCAGTTTTGACAAAAAAATATATATCTTGGTTATGGTTTCAACAATCCCAGTAAAGCACAAGTGACATTATTTGGTGGGTCTGACAAATAAAGCATTGCCAGATGCATGATAGGGACTAACTACGCACAAAAACATTTCGATTTGGATCAGTTAAGACATCGAGACCACATGGATGAATCATTTCACTCCAAAAATGTGAACTTTCAATCATGAGTAAAAGGCTCAAAAAGACAGCCCTCCTACCAAAAACATGTTCCGGCTCCAAAATCTTCCCAAATACACATGAACAAAGACTCAAATTACCACTTAACCAAATCAGATGAGACAAAATATTTTTGTACTTTCTCTTTTACGGACCAGTTGTCGTTGCAATGTTCCCGAACTAGCTTCAGGAAGGACTCTATTTAACATATAGTATAGAAATAGGGCTTCAATAATCGCAATACAGTAGTTACAGTAAAATTGAAAAGCGAAGCTGTTCGGACACGCTTTGGGCGACTGTCGAATGCTCGCTAATGATGGCTTTTAAAAGCCCTCAGGCTACCTTCCACCCTGAGCACGCTCCACACAGCGCCGTGGAAGACGATTAAACCTCCCCGCGGCTCCAATTAGTCAAGACAGAATAATAGAATAGGACGAGAACTTTTATCCAGCAAATGGCTGTTTGGCGTTTTGCACTGCAGTGGGCGGCATGAAGAGGAAGAGACCTCGGCTGGTTGAAGAGCCACAAATGCTGACTGCTGTTTTTTTTTTTTTTTTTAAATAAATGCATACAGCTCCATTACCCAATGAGAAATATTAAAGCACTTCACAGTGGTCTGCGGTCAATAAAGGGAAAGATTGATTTAAAACGCACAGAAAAAATGGCAACGCATTTACTAAACCTCACAAAAAAAAAAAAAAAAAAAAAAAAGTTCAACGCAGGGAAGTGAAAACTACGCGGCGAAGGCCACATAAATATGGACCATATATCATTCCTCCATTTGAATTTCAGACCATTATTGATCGGGGCTGCTCGAAGGCTATATTATGTGTAAATCATCAGCGGGTCGATGGAGCAATCTGAAATGATGCAGGCTAACACGGCAGAAAAATCCAAATGACTCACATGCATGTTGAGTCAATCACAAAACAGCATTTTTTTTTCTGAAATTGACTCGCCCAAGCAGGATCCGCAGAGGATGACACGGTGTAAAATCTTGATTTAATGAGCCACATTTAATAGCCGCGGTGTGTTGCTGGAGTGCGAGCGTAGACGGTGTGTGTGTGTGTGTGTGTGTGTCCTTTGCGGCCAGCCTTTTTTATGGGCTTTTGTGTTTCAAACCAGCTGCCCTTTTTCCTTCAGCTTTTTTTTCCTTTCGTCAGTCCAAATCTCAACCTGCTTCCCTGTTAGCCCTCTTCTCCATAAAAAAATGGGGGAGGGAGAGGGGTTACGGAATCTATCTTTAGAAAGCACAAAGAGCAGTTTCTCTTCTGCTTTCATCTCCCTCCATCTCAGAGCCCGTTCTTTGGAGGAAAAGCCATCTCACTTAATGGGGCCCTTCGTCGCCGAGAGATTTTTACCTCTCATTTTCTCTCCTGTGTTTTCGACGGGAAGGATTTGCAGCACGAGGGGGAAAAAGCGGAATAAGAACAAGGAGGGTTTCAATAAAAAGGCCAAGGGATTGAAGCATGAACATAATGATGTGGGGAGGAAACACAACATGAGGTGTTGCGCAGCTGGAAAGTCCTGAAAACCATCCAAACAACTATTGCGGGACATAAATTTCAACATGAACAGAAGGTAAAAAAATAAAAAATAAAAAATCATTCTAGGATAAAAAACACGAATGAAAGACAAGCATTGGCTGTTTCAACCTCTGACATCATCTCAAGCCTTTAAAGGCTTTAATGGATGGACATTCTACTACTTTATTATTCACCTTAGGCACGGAAGGAAAAACTGCATTGTCAAGATTCCTGTTCAGTCAAGCAAAAATAACAACTGTTGCGGCCGCATTTTGACTTTAAAATGAAACGCATCCAAATCAGTGCGAAACTGTGGGCCGTGGGAATATATCAGTGATCAGCACTGTAGAAATGTGACTGAAAATGTCAAAAAGTGATCAAACGCACAAACGCAAACATGAATGGACACTCAAAAATCAAGGTTCTTCAAAAGGAATAAACTTAGGCTGACTCAACCTTTTTGCATCCAACTTTAAAACTGAAACGGTTGTACAGTGAAACTCCTCTACAACGAAATCATGTTTGCAGCAAGAAATTTTTCACAACAGGGGGTTTTTCACTGTAGCAAATTTGATCTCAGATGTAAGCACACACACACCCACACACACAAACGTATGTGTACACACACACACAAACGTTTGTGTACTCTATTTTTATTCCAATAGTACATAAGTATGAGCACACACTTATTTGACACTTCATATTGTCAGTGTAGAAAGAAAAAAAGGGAAAGAAATTGCGAAATTTACGATCAGCATTCACTTTCACTGACATCAATTTCTTGGAAAATGTCTTTTATTTTGCTTGCTCCGTCTTTCATTTTGATCACTTTTACCCCCTCTTCCAGCATCAGAGCTCTTCTTGTCTAAGCTGCTTGACATCCAAATGTCCGTTTTGTAGCCATTTTAGCAATGCAACGTCCATCCTCGTCTGAATCTAACAATAACAAATACTTCCTGGCATGCAATGAACTTTTAAGCCAGCCACGGGATGCTTCGTAGTCCTCGATGGCCATAGT